TTTATATGCATCAATTAAAGTCTGAGGGCTTAATAGCGATTCTGGGGTTAGTTCAGGGGCTTAACTTATGGTTTTGCCTTTTCTTTAATGATTTGGTCTCCAAACTTCATTTTTGTTGAGAATGTGTTCAATCCACGCTGAGGTCTGGACCCCATATACATATTCAACTCTATATTATGTTAAGCCAATAACTTAGTTAATTAGTTACTTCGTAAAATAATTTTTACTCCCTCTAAAATTAAATAAACCCTAAAGCATTAAATTGTATAACACCCTTAAATTTTTTTATATTAAATAATCGATGATTGTACAATAAAAAATATTTTTACTTTTTTTTAAAAAAATTTTTTCCATCTATTTTTAGGTAAAATTCAAATTTTTGACTTAAAATTTTAACCTTTTAACTACTTAAAACAATTCTTTAACTGTATACAATGCATTTATTAAAAAAAGAGAAAAATTCCACAAACCATCAAGGAAATATCAAAACAAAATTAAAGAAAATCTACACAGAATTGAGACATTTGTTCAATTCTGTTGTTATTTTTCTTCATAGGTTCATTCAAATTCAATAAGCACGACGCAAACTTAATTCCTTAATTAAAGCATTCAAATCTGAGTAAGAGGAACCATCTTTCTCGACAGCCCTTTTTGCCATTTCTCCAAATGCCTTAGCTCTGTTCCTCATTTCCTCTGCTTTCTTCCCTACCATAATCTCCTTCACTACCTTCTCAATCGTATGACTTTCCACAAAGTCCCCCACCACCATAACCCACTGCTTAACCCCAATGGCAACTCCAACCTTCAGAATATCAGTCACTAGCTTCTCATTATAGAATTGCTCTGCGAAGATTGGCCAAGTGACCATTGGCACGCCAGCAGACACACCTTCCAATGTCGAATTCCATCCACAATGAGTCACAAATCCTCCAACTGCAGGATGCTCTAGAATTAGCACCTGAGGCGCCCATCCTCTTATTATTAGCCCTTTCCCTTCCATTCTCTTCTCGAACCCTTCTGGTAACCAATACTCCCCTTCTTCATCACTACTTTTCTCTTTCCTCACGACCCAGATGAATTCTTGCCCTGAAGCTTCAAGCCCAATCGCAATCTCCTTCAATTGAGCAGGAGTAAAGCTGACCATACTTCCAAAACATATGTAAATAACTGAATTGTGTTTTTTCGAGTTGAGCCACTCCAAGCACTCTTGTTCATCAATGGTTGCTTTCTTCCCTCTCTCTGCTTTATCTTCAATTCCCTTGTTGCAAAGCGAAACAGGGCCAATGTGCCATGCCCTTATCCCCAAAACATTCCTATAATAGTCAGCATAAGTAGCTTCCAATTCATAAAAACTGTTGACAATCATCCCGTAGCTCTTCATCTCCAAGTCTTTCGATGGCATTAACATCCTCATGGTGTCGTCTCCAGTATCTTGTGTCATGAACACTGGTAACTTCTTTCTTGTTAGCTCGATTTCATCAGGAAAATTTGGCACCAAAAATGGTTCAGAATCCGAGTCCACTTTCTTGTGCGGCTCATATAGCGACAAGCAATGTCCTACACACATAGCAAAGAAACTCGTTCCATGGAACACCAGCCTGGGAATTCCAAACTTGTTTGCAGCATCAGTGGCCCAAGGGAAGAAAATATCTGCAACCAAGCAATCTGGTTTGAATTCTTGTAGCAGCTGCTCCAGGGGTTCTTGGAGCAGAGTTGTGGCCAAGAGAAATCTTTTCACCATATCCATTCCCATTTCTTTAGAAGGGTCTAGGTTTTCAAATCCCTCAGGCAAGCTAGCCTCAGCAGGAAACTTGATGGTTTTGATATCAATATCCACAGCCAAATTCTTACTCCTTTCTATTCCCCTTGAGAAGAGAGGAGCATTGGGCGGAGTGGTGATTATGGTTGCCTTCACACCGCGCAAAGCAAACAGCTTGGCCATCTCCGCTACTGGTATCATGTGGCCATGAATCATGATGGGAAAGAAAAACATGTGAAGCTGAGGAATTTCGCTGGTCATATTCCCAGAAGAAAAGATTAATCCTTTGGGAGATGGTAAAGATGAGAAGCTTTTGAAGCAGTATCTCTTTGTGGATTGTGGTTGAATGAAACTTGATGGTGTACCATCTACAGCAGCGGATGATTCTGGAGATAATTTTGAACAATAATTAAAATAAGTCTTGAACAAAATTACGAAGATGACAAGAGGAGCTTGTGTCCCTCTATTCTCAAAGCAGGGGTACTTTCGTCTCTTTAAATTTTAAAAATGAGATATTTTTGTTCAGTTACTGTGTACTAACTTCATTAGTTACGGATTGTCTGTTACCGTGGTAGCATAAATTATGTCCACTGTCGGCAATTGACAAATGATTTTTTTTTTTTTTTAATGTTAGTTGTATAGTAAAAAGTAATTTTTTTTTAAATTTTAAATTTTATTTTATTTATATATCATGTAATTTAAATTTAAAATCTTATATTTAAATAAAATTATCATTAAATTATTTATACCACTAATCATATGACAAATGATTTTATTTTCAATGAACAAGAAAAATGATTGAAATCAGGCAACAGTAGGGCTTCATTTCAAACTCAGGACTTTTTTTTTTTTTGTTACATCAAACTCAGGACTTTACTATCTGAGCATATTTTTCTTAAAATGAGCGGCCCTTAGATCACCAAGTACTGCAGAGTATACGAGAAATGTTTTTGTGACTCGGTCGGACACTACTTATTTTGCTTTTGTTTTTTTTTCTTTTTGGGTTTTCGCCTACTATCTAGGTTTCGCTCTGACTAATTCGGATCGACCTGAGTCGCACACTTGAAAATAGTGAATAAATCTCTCAATAAAAATTACTGTATACACAAAATTTCAAATTAAAAACCTTACTTAAACTGAAACAAACCATTTACTACTCAATCCAACCCCTCGTTGGTATTATTTTGCTTTTGTTGTCGTGAAAATAATAGAGATATACGATATTAATACTAGTTTCTATGTACCAAAGAAAAAAAAAATACTAGTTTCTGTTCCATTTTATTTGTTATAATATATTTTTAGTTCATTTTTTCTATAGCATATGAATCAAAATTTTAAATTTTGTTCTTAATATTTAATTCTTTTAAATTAATTTTATTCATAAAAAATTAAATTAACATTCATCTATTATAAAAAAATTTATTTTAA